ACGTTTCCGCGCCCGGCCAACGCCAGAAAACTCCCCCGCCGCCGCGAGTTATCGCCCGAGCCCCACGACTTCCACGATACATCCATTTCTATTTATCTTCCGCCGCGGATCACGCAATTAGGATCGACCGGATCGACGCGCCGAGAGAAATCGATGCCACCGTGGAACGCGGACTTCTTCGAGTATTTCGATTCTTGAATTTTTCCATTTCAACCCTTAACCGGTTAACTGTGGAATTTAGTTGGAGAAACCTCTGGTTCTTCGCGATGAAATCGAAAAATGGAGCGTCTACTCGTCGAACGCAGAACGAAGGCATGAAAGATCAAAGCGAAGCAAAGAAGAATTACATGTTTATGTGAACAAATAGAGAATTCATCGCTGAAAAAATTAGCATCGAAATTAAATCTTCGATTAAAAATAAAATGTTCCAACAGACCACTTTACACTCTGACAGAGACGATTTCGCACAGGGGAATCTTCCTACCGAATTCACGGTAGGATAAACCGCGAGCGAAAAATAGAATTGTCCGCCATAATCAATTCTTTTTTTCGCGATCGACCTCTGGCGGGAAACGTTCGTAGACGACAAACGGGGCAGCGGAAAAAGGGCAAAAACGCAGGTGAAAAAAGAGCGGGAACGCCGTGGAGATTGGTCTTTTTTATTTGGATCGAGCGACGTAAATTGCGGCCGCGTTGTGATAGGCGAAATTTCATTCCGCGTTTTCCGGCGACGAGCCACGCTCGCACGCTCGCTCGCTCGTCTCGCGGAAAAACAAAAAGGGTATCCCCGCGGAGGCCCAATATCGCGTAATTAAATTTCCCGACGGCTCGAAACGGAAAGAAACAACGAGATTGCGCTGTGTGTACACCGAAAGTGGAAAATTTTCGCGATCGATTAGACCGCCGGCCGCCTGCCCCGGCTCGGTCGGCCATTTCGTCGGCACGCGCGCGCGACAAAGAAGTCGCACGACGGGGCCCGGAGGGTGAACCCGCCGGGAGGGGGTCGATTGATTAATTAAAAAGTTCCAAGTGCCGTGTCGAAGAGACCGGCTCTCTAGGCTCGCGGATAGCGTGGCCCATTTCCGTTCCCGTCCTCCCCTTCGAGGCAGCATCGACACGCGATTCGCGCGGACCCCCATAGCAGCCATCGGAACTATCGCCCTGGGTGGACAGAAATCCCCTGGCAGCCGAGTAACTGAACAAGGCGTCGGGAATAAATTCCTTCTTCCTGTCGGAGGCTCCCTCGTGTACCAAAGAAACCGAAAGTTAACCCTTTGCACTCGAGCGGCGCCTCTCGATCTATTTGATTTGACCGAACGAAGCGATCAAATTTAGAATTCGATATCAAATTTTATATAATCTATCATATGGAACATCGAAATGAAATAATTCTGTCACTTCATTTATACAAGGTGTTTCTTTATGTTGTAAAACATATTGGTATCTCATAAAGAAGTGATAAGAAGATAGAAAAATATTCTCGAGTGCAAAGGGTTAATTACACTGTCTAAAAGTTTGAGTCTATCGGTTCGTAGAATCATATTAAATTGATTTTTTTCCTTCTAATTATCTATTTTCGTTACTTAGAAATGGGAAAATTCGCAAAGCGTTGATTTCTAAACTGAAACGAAAGCGTGATCGCGCCGCTTACCACTTTTCGAACGGTTAAATAGTAGAAAAGAGAATTTATTACGAACTTTTCGAGAATGAAATTATCCATCGGCAAGCTTTCGATTTTAGATATGAAAGCTCGAGTTCGTCATTGCGGTACTCGTCAGGACCGAATGTTTTGTCGTAACAGAATTCCGCGAGAGCGAAGACAGGCACGAGAAACGAGGGAAATCGGCGGTCTGATAATTATCGACCGGTCGGAATGGAAAAGGTTTCGCGACAGCCGGGCGTAACGAAGCGCGACGAAATCGAACAAAATGTATAAAGTTAGAGGAGCGGTTCGCGGAGGTTGGCTGGCTTCGGCATTGAAATTCGCCGGGCGGCAGCGATTCCGGCAATACATTGTCAAAAGTTTCGGCCGGCGAGCGTGGCTAACGATCGTCGAAGTTCGCGATTTGTTCTCTCCGATCGAAACACAAAGAGAGAGTGGCCAATTCAGCCTAGCAGGGCGGGGCCTCGGGATCTCGTCCTTATCCCGGTTTCCCTTTGGCCGGCTGGTTCGTATCGGGAATCGCCTAACGAGACGGAAAAATCAAGTCTCCCTTTGCCGGGCTCCTGCCTCCGGCCCGGCGCAATACATGTCTAATTAACCATAAAAATAACGAGATTTTTGTGTGGGCAGCCACGGCGAAATCAATTTCCCGATCGCGCCGCGAAAAGGGACTTGCTGACTACGCTAGACAATGCACGCGGACCTTTATCTAGTTCCTTTCTTTCCTCTTTTATCGCGGTCGTCTTCGACGCTCGGATTTTCTGGTTAACAATGGATTAACGCACGATTATGCGAAGTTCCTTCCATGGAAAAATTCGTGTTCGTTTGTTAAGATGTTGGAAGTTAGAAAGTTAACACTGGAACTACGAAATACTTAAACCGTCTTTCTAAAACTCCTTTATAAAAGCTGGAAGCGTGAATTCATTAAGATTTGGTTCGTATTTCAGTTTAGGCATTATTAATCATTTCTTCGATCTTTCATTCTTTCAAAGGGTTAATCATTTCTTAAAGAAGTATACTTCTTCGCAATAATTGTGAAAGAAGTAACTAGGAACTTTGATTCACCCGATAGTTCTAGTGTTAAAGACAGACAATTGAGATATACATGCGAAAAATTACATCAATTTCGTCCACTATGATCCATTACTATGCCCGATACCTTCAACCACGGTCACACGAAACCGTGACACGACCCAGTTCCCCCCGAAGAACTTCGGCTAAGTGCGTTAATGGCGACGCTGCTAATCCCAGCGGAACTAGCTGCACCGAGAGAACAGTTGAGCTGATCTACGGCGGTAAACATCTGATAAGGAAACCCCAGAAAATCCGCAAACATCAACGTCCGGCTTCCCGGGGAATTCGGAAGCTGAAAAATCGATGAACGATTGCGCCTGTCCGAGGACAAGGGCGACGGGCTAAGAGGAACAGAGATAGGGCGAAAGTTTCGCAAATATCCCGTCGCGTCGCGTCGGTTCGCCGTTGTTTGTTTAGCATCTTGGATTCTTGCCTAGGCTGCAGCCGCCTCATTAAGCCCGAAAATAATACCGCGACGGTCCGGAGACAACGAAGACGGAAGGGTCGGGGATATTCCGTCGCGAAGCATCGGCAAGATAGCGAAGGGGATGCTGCCTAAGCGGAGGGGACGCGAGGGACTGGCCCGAGGGTGCGACGTCAGATTTGTCTCGTTAGAGTTCGCATTGTGCCTGCCTATGGCCGATTTACGCTCTCCCGTCGCAGCGGTCCGCTTCCTCGCTCCTCCGTCCTTCGACGAGACCTCGTTTCTTTTTCCTCCTCGGTATCTAACGAGCCTCCATTAAAGCCGCAACGCCGCCCCGCCGTGATCACGTCACTCCCGACGCCTCGGATCGCGCCGCTTGATACCTCCAATCTTGCGAAATTCAGTTGGCTTTTTTTCTGCGCTCGAGCATTCGAGTTTCTCGAGTATCGGGCACGGAAGTACGTTGAAAACGTTCACCGATGAGACGTTTTATTATTCTGTTTGATTCTCTAACGAGGGCAACTGGTTAATAACGGATTCATCTTGAATTCAAGTTCTGCTTGGTTTCGAATTCTGCGTCTGTTTCGATTCGAAATGCGCTGGAAATATTGAAAACGGACGTCGAGCGGAACTAATCGGTGATTAACGATGCAACGGCAGAAATTCCGCTGCAAAAGCTCGAGGAATATTCCGGGCTGTTTCGTAACTGACCGATCCTTCGGCAGATCGATCCCGGCCCCGCAAGAAAACGTCGTTAGGGAAGATCGATAGAGGAAAGTTTCTTGTTGATTCCACTTGGAGCAGGTAATTTGTGATTCAGCCGATCTTCGGCCGAGAGATGTCCCTCCTCCCGGTAAGTTTGCGAGTATCTCTGTTTAAGGAGTCCCCGAACGGGAGTTTATAGATCGATCGTTCATCGGCCCGCTGCCTCGCCGGAATTAGGAAACGAGCGTTAATTGATTCTGATGGTGTCCCGAAGCAGGATAAATTATTCCGCGATTTGTCGCTAGCATATTCCTTCCCCTGCGTCTTGTTACTTCGCCGGCATCCGAGGTGACGGTAAATCTCCCGTTCTAAATTGTTAATTCCCGTGCAAAGGTCCGAGTTCCTCGAGCAAACGTTCCTCTCTTCCGGTCCCTTCGCTGTCCGTGTAAAAACGGCACTCCCGTTTCCCGAACCACGACTCCGGATTCTCTTTCATAATGCAGCAAAATTTCGGGGCTCGTTCCAGCCGCGCCGCATCAATTCGTCGTAATTGGATTATTCGGATTTTCCCTCTGAATGCGCTCCTCTCGGTGCAGCTTGCAAGAACCGGATGCGTTGCTCAACCCTTTTAGAAGTAGCGCAAAACCTGAACAATAGGGAATATTCCTGTTCGAGCATGAAATATACGAAACGGTAAACTAGAATCAGTCGGCGAGGGGTGGATGACTTTTTCTAAAAGAACTATTATATCCCGAATATCATTATCAACATTGTTAAATAACAATAAGCCACGCTCTTCCGTGCAATTTCCAACGGTAAAGAATCGGACCCGTGGCAACGTAACCGAAACTGTACCGTACGCAACGAAGTCCCCTAAAATGACAACGATAACGGCACAGTTACGGTTAATGTCGCCGGATACGCCAATTTTCTCGGCGCAGGACGTGCTTCCTCCCGCGGGGCCCGTTTTCCGGCGAAAATACGGTTAAAATCGAGCGGGCGGAAGGTCGAGCGGCCACGCGCGGCTCCGTGGCCGCGTATAAACGATATTCTAATGGAAGGATCCCGGCCGAATTTCCCTGAAAAATAAATTCCCCGGCGTCGTCTCACCGAGCGGTTTTCTCGAAATTCCAGCGAGCTCGCCGGAGCCCCGTACGTGCCCTTACCTGGGCAAGTTCACGGTGACCGGGGTGAACCGGAACCAGCGGAACATCCGCGAGAGCCGGCGGAACCAGCACCAGGACGGGGTCAGGCGGGACAGGGAGAAGGTGCGGCACGCGCAGGAGCGCACGCAGGACGACCGGCGCGGCAGGAAGCTCGACTTCGACGTGGAGAAGCGTCGGGCGAACAACGAGTACCTGGTGCACGAGAGGATGGGCAGGCGAGCCAGGTCGAACCGGAACAACAGGGTTCACCGGGACCACAGCCTCGAGGAGGCCTCCTCGAAGCGGTCACTGGACATCGAGGACCTCCTCTGGGACCATTCCAGGTCCAAGCTCAGGTGGTCCGAGGAGCAACGCTCCGGCGACACCCCGGCCAGGTCAAAGACCAGAAAACCTCACGACCTTGAGAAGCGTTCGACGAGAACCGAGGCGGACGTGGAGGACAGATCCAGGAGGAGTCCCAAGATGGAGGACTTCCGAGTGGACGCGGACGACTTCGCGAGGATCAGACAGTTCTGGACCACCGACTTCGAGGACTCCGACGGGTCCAGCATCTTGGAGGTCCAGGAGGATTACTTCGGCGACTACCCCGACACCGCGGACCTGCCCAAGAAGAGGTCCGGCAGGAACTACCGGCAGATGACGTACAAGGATCTGTCGAGGGCGAGGAGGGACATCCAGGAGACCTATCCCGAAGACGAGTCCTTGGAGAAGAGGGAGAAGAGGGAGGAGGACGTCTCCAGGTGCAGCTCGGAGGTGACCACCATAACCATCGGATGCTCCACCGCCGACAGGATGGAGTTCCAGACGGACTGCGTCGACGAGAACGCTATCGGTGAGTATAGTCACGTTTGAACCGATCGAACATGTCTAATCAAGTCGCCGGCATTTGAATATTTTTCTACAAATTACCGAAATTACCCAATACCAACTTCTAACACGAACAAACGTGTTCTAAATTCTAAATCATAACTAGTCACACGGTTCGAATCTCAAGATCCCTCGACTCCTAATAAAACACAAACGAATTCCATCCTCGAATCGCGAAATTCGTCTGTCAAGTGCTTCGAACCGACGGTATTCCGGTGATCGCGACGGGATCCGTTTAAAAATTGCGACGGTTCGTCTCTGTCCGTCGAGCTTGGCCGTCCGGCCAGCTGCGATTGTCAAGAATAGGGAGTCGCGGAAATCGTCGATAATTAAAATCGCATTAACGATAGAGCGGACGGGCGCGGATCCGTTTCCGCGCCGATGGAGGGTCTTTTATTTCGCCGGCATTCATCCTCCCCGCCCCCGGGAGCTTGTCAAAGTTTATTTAGAGGATAATGGCACTCGAGGGGTAACGACCGGCCCTCGAGATACCTTTCCCCCTCTCCCACCCCCCCATTATACCGGGAAAGTTCGCTTCCCTTGGAGGCTTCGGTGTGCGGACGCGCGTGTACGTGTGCGTGTAAAGGGAGACCCCGCCGCTTTCTGTTCCGCAGCGTACTCCTGCCACGGTAGGTGGTTCGACGCGGAGGGCACCCAATTCGTGATCGCCACCCAGCTGGCGCCCGGCACGGCCTGGACCAGCGAGAACAACAGACCCCAGCCCTACAGGAACAGCCGAAGATTGTGCTTCATGTACAAAGAGAGCGGAGGAGTTGTCAGCTTGACTGCCAGCGAGGTGGCCTGCCAAAGGGGAATACCTCCGCCCCCGCCGATGTTGGCCTTCAACGCTACCAGTACCGGTGAGCACCTCTACTACTCTACTCCCTTCGACCACTTCACTCTATCCACCTTCGCTTTCGCTTCTCCTCCCGCGCTGTTTCTCGAACTCCGGTCCTCGAGACAGTGGTTCTTAACACTTTCACGTCCGCAAAAATTTTCTTTGTCGCCGGAACTTTTTGAAAAGTTGTTCGTTAAAATGTGCAAATATAAAATGTAGAATTCAGTACAAGATAGTAAACTTAGCTGCTTTTTATTCAATGATATGTGTAAATATGTGTAATTTTCAATAGCACCACGTTGAGTCACCGTAAATAATAAACGGGATGCAAATGGCACCACGGTGGTGTCACCGGACGTGAAAGTATTAACGCACCTACTGCCACGAGAATTTTTAGCTTGTAGCTTCCTGCGATACACTTGTTCTTCCGATGCAGAGGTAATAGATATCAATAATTGCTAAACAAAAAAATCGAAACCAGTTATTTTGACTATCAGTTTGGTACCAGCTCCGTTCGAAAAGTTAACTCACGTTAACTTGTAGAGTAACTGTCGAATTATCTACATTTTTCTTGTGAACTCCCTTTGCGATGGAGGTTAACACTAGACTTTTTTAAATTTGTCTGTCCTCTAAGAGTTTCTTGGGATTTCGATTAACTTATAATTCAGTCTGCGTTACTAAGTGAATGTCTCCAGTACTTTCTCAGAGAAGCATTTGTCCGCTTTTCGGTAAGTGTAAAAGAAAGTCGATCTAACACATTCGGTAGTCTTAGCGCTAAGAACCACTGCTCTAAGGACTGGCCCGCCCAGCGAATCGCGTCTCGCGTTTTGTTCGGCAACTGCTCGCGAACGTCCCGCCGTTCGAGTATTTTGTCTGGAGATTTCGGCGGAGAGCCCATTGTCGAAGGAATTAGACAGTTTCCACGACACCCCTCCCCCCCTCGTTCCGCTGCTATTCTTTCCTGTCTTCCTCCCCTTTTTCAGCTGGTCCTCCATTAGCCTTATAGGGGAGCCGCGTCTCGAGACACGTATTTTCTCGATTACGATTGCTCGTTCGTTTCGGCCGAGACTTCGCCCCCGCCTCGGCGGAGTTCCTTAATCGTTGTTCGGTTTGATGACGCGTGACGGGAACGTGGCCGGGAAAGTTTTCCTGCCGACCCACCCTTCGTTATCCCCCTTTCCTTACCGTGTTATTTTCCTGATAAGTAAATCCCAATTGCCGCTTTCGCTTTCGAGCAATTGAAAGCGCCGTTTCATTAACAGAATCGAATTAGAATACAACGTCGTGAACGAGACGCTTAGAAATATCTTTCACACAACATTCCACGGAAACCTACGCGTACGAGCAGATATTCATACAACATTTACTCGTGCACGTTTCAACGAGATTCCAAAAATCTAGAGCACATTATGTATAAAGATCGTAACGTTAAGCAAGCGGAGCAGGTCGAGTAGAACCGAACTCGAGTTCCCCGTTAGAGGGAAAGAAAGACAAACAACTCGAGCCTTTACATTCGCTCCTCTAAACTTCATTAAAATCTGTAAGGAAATCGGGAGGGGGAGGAGGGAGACTCTTCGTTAGTTTACTCGCGGCATCCGGCGGCGGTGTTCGTGCGTCTTCGTGACCCAGAAGCGTGCGAGCCGGAGTTTCCGCCGCGGCGAGCCCCACGGCGAGTCCGATTATTTACAATTTCGACGCTGGAAAAATACGCTCGGGCCGAGTTCCTCGATTTGTTTGATGTTATCAGGCTATACAGCCGCGCTCTCGGGGCCGGTGCTTCAATCTGAAGCGTCCTCGGCTGCCTAGACTGTTGTCTTGTCACTCCGGTGAGGATCCTTCAGTTTTGTTTCCCTCCCCCGGCCGCGTCGACTACTCCAGCCGCTTGTTCGTTACGCCGTTTCACTCCAGAATTCTCTTATTGAAGGGGCCGACGATTCGCGGAGGCGTGATCAAGCCGCGGCTGCACACACGTTCGCGCGTTGACGCGTTCCCACCGTTTTCCTTCTTTCCCGCCGCTCGAATATCCCGTTTTTCCGTTTCACTGCGCTCCCCGCGAAATAACCGTATCGTTCTCCGCGGCCCCATAAATCCGACGTTCAACGAATTCCGGGGTATTTTAATGGCTACGCTCGCGTACGGTCTATTGTTATGCACGCTTCTGACGCGATAACGCGAGTCTCTCGGCGTAATTGCATTTATAATAGCTCTGGACTCTTCGGTTTTTGTTATACGAAGATCGTTTTCCTTCCTCTCTTCGGATAATCCTGCTTCCTTGGATCAATTTTTGTTTGAACGCAAAAGTGACAGTCGATTATTCATGATAACGTGATTCACGCAGTTGCGAGAAAGATCATGGAGCAACCGGAGGATCGAGAAAACGTTCGAATCGCGAGCGCGGAGTTCAACGAAGAAACTGAGCAGGTTCTCGGTCGCGTCGATGGAAACCGGGCTAAACGCGGTTCGACGGAACGGCAGAGTTACGGTGTCCAATCGAAATCGCGTGGCGTCAGCGATTGCCGTCCGTTGCGTCGGCTGAATTCGCGGCGCAGACGGCGTGCGACAGCCGCGAGTAATCTACTGCCGCGACACGCAGGCGACTTCGCCTGACAAATGTACCGTGACGATCTGTTCGACGAACGTCGAATTAAGCGCCGCCCGCTAAACAGAATCCGAGGGAACGGTGACCGACGACCGTTGACCGTCCGGGCCGACCCACCGCGAATTGTTTTCTCTCCGGGAGCGAGGGCTGGAAAACGACTTTCGACTTAAGCGTGAAATCGGCTTGCCGCTTTGTTCGCCGCCGAGAGTTCGGATTGGCTTTAAATGGTCACTCTTAATTGCGGGACTAGGGGCTGGGACGATCGACAACGGCGCAACGGTGTTGCGCTAATCGCCGATCTCTTTTCTTCCGATCACCCCCTTGTAAACACACTGCTTTGCGATGTTAACCCTTTGCACTCGAGAGGTGACTCTCAGTTGATTTGATTTGCAAAATTATGAAGTCTTATATATAATATTAAGCTTTGTATGATGCATTGATATATGGAATATTCAAATAAAATAACTTTCCTTCTTAATTCATATATGTTTCCTCGTTAATAAGTTTCAAAGAACGTCGTCTGTATCTCATCGAAGAATATTGAATATTTCTAATGAAAAACTTTCGACTGCAAAGGGTTAAAGCATTCGTAAATTGTAACGGAACAATCGATGCATCTGTGCAATTTTCATAACTTTAGCGAACTTCAACCCTTTGCGGGCGAATGTTGACTTTTCGGATGAAATTTTCATGTTCAGAATACTAAGTGTAAAAATTCGAAGGTCGACAATTTTTTGATCGTCAGTCATTCTTCATCTTTACGGAGTAGCCTACTTATAAATTGCTTTATCCATGCTTTCCAATGTTTTCCAACGATCCCAAGACCATCGTTCTACCCAACGACGTTTCAAGTAACAATATAAAATTCGATTTGTTTTCTTGTTCCAGGCCAATGCATGGAAGAGAACAGGAGCGCCGTCGCTCGGTCGACGTACCTCCTGGTCGTCAGCCTGACGGCGATCGTCGCGATATACAGGTGATTCTAATCGAATCGGGCGACGATCTCACGACCGTTAAATCGACGTTTGTAATCTACATTACTGGACACCGTGTGCGGTGACGAATGAAACGAGGGATGGTACACGTGTATAATACAAAAAAAGTACATATATATATAAATATATATATAAATATTATATATATATATATACAAACCTTCGTCGCGAATCACACCGAGGAAGAAGATCGGTCGACCGATGAGCGAGGAAGGGACAAGAGAAAAAAAAAGAAGGGAAAACCGGAGGAATCGATTCTTCGGCGGCGAAACGCTCGCGTCCGTAGCTCCAGCTAGCTTCTCCGGTTCGTCGTGGGAGGATTCGTGCTCGCCGGGTTACCGGGACGCCAGGGAAACACAGAAATCGATGAGAATCCTTAAGAACATTGAAAAACCTGAGCCTCCAACGAAGCAATCGTTGCTGATTCCATCTCCTAAAGAGATTCGTCTCTCATATAAACAGAAAATACTCAGAAAAGCCAAATTTCTGATTTCTCCCACGCCTAAGTCCCTTATACACGTTGAAACGTAACGATCGACGCGATCGATGGGTTTCAGCCTGCAAGGTGCATCGTGAAACCTCGAAGACTGAAACCCATCGCTTCCAGCGTCGCCTGTCGCGAGTTTCAACTTGCTTGGTCGTTTGAGTGTCCTCGCGAGTCCCATAGATAAGTGCCAGATCACTTCTTTCGTTTCACCTCGGAAACTGAGTTACGCTTCTCTATGTTCTAGGACGATTTTGAACGGCGAGGGTTCATTTCCCTATTTCTGAACGGATGATAAAAGGAAAACACGCGAACAAACTGAATTTGATTGTACGAATCGGCACTTTTAGGCGACGTAACGGAGAACGCTTGCCACTCAAACGGTTAAGGGGGGATCCTCCTCGGGACGGGCAGGGGAAATCAGGCGCAGGACCGGATGGATCCTTTTCCCAGAGCCGAGGGCCTTCTCGAAGGGAATTTCCTCGAGAGATTCGCTCCTCGTCGCGACGGGAGGGGGCTGGAACTCCGATTTCGTTGCCGGGACACCGGTCCGATCGTCGAGCACGGATCTTCCAGCGGCCAGTAGGTTTTTTACCGACGTAGCTCGTAGGCACTAGCTAATTAAAGAGTCAAGCGGAAGCTGACGAGGTGGCGGACGAGTTTCCACGGCTGGACCTCATATCACGGGGCCGAGAGATCGCGGCGCAACTCGATTCGGATTTTCCAGGGCACCGACACGGTGAAACGGGACCGACGCGGCGGCCACCCCCGCGAACACGCCCGACGATAGCGACGCACCTTGTTCGGTGGACAAGGTGAACGATACATCGACACGGTCACTGCCTTTTAACCCTTTGCACTCGGGGATTTCAGTACGCTCGAAATCCCACCTGAGAAGCGACCTCCGAGTGCGAAGGGTTAAACACTCAATTGCGACGCTAACTTGCCGAAAGTTAGTCAGCATTAACATGTCGCGAAATATTCATTAGTTGACGTGGAATCTTAGAGGATTGTTTTAATTTTAAGGGGACGGTTTCTATTCGGCAAATGTTTCTCGAGTGATCGTTATCTTCTTTGTAATTATCGTCTGTAATTGAGTCGCTCGGAGGTTAATTCGGTTAAGTAGATTTTTTGATATTTGACTTTTGTTTTTAATGGATAAGTAATATTCTTTTTGGTTATTGAAGGATTACCTCGTTTTTTCTAGAGCAGGAAGTTTTTATAACTTCTGAATATGTTGCGAAATTATTTCAGAAGCTGAAACATTAATTTTTTCAATTTTCCTTTTCCGGGCTTAACTGCATTGACGTTTGAACGACTCAATTATGGATTGTAATTATTCCGTTTTAATCCTACGATTATAATGATACATTCATACTGTAATGATATCATTGTTCATTTTCCTCGTGTACTTCGAACGAATTGAATTGAACCTTTGTTCTCCTGGATCTTGTCGCGGATCGGAACATCGAGGATTTCGTAAGTTTTAATTGGATCACGGTTCGCACGCGTTTCTGCCGTACTGTCCGATGTTCCGCGCGGGAAAAATATCGAAGAAAGTTCGACGCTTCGGGCTCGCCGGAATTCCGTTGTATTCTTCGGTGAGAATGTAACGAGAGATCGATTCGATGGGACGGGCTGCTCCGCACGATGACCTATAAAACAATTTGACTTGCCTTCGACCTTTGTCGCTGTGTCTGTTGCGCGAGAAGTAATTTGATCTAGCGAGCGATAGTCTCTTTAACGCGCTACTTTCATTACTTTCGGTACGGTCTAAATTCTTCTAAAAATTTCACCGTCATAATTATACTCCGGATCTTATGCAAATTCTCGCTATTAGAAGCTGTTTCGCGGAACGTAGAGCAAAGGAAACTTTTCTTTCGCCGGCTAGAGCATCCTTTGATAGAAACGAAGTAAGGTATTATAAACTTTCGTTATTAAACCCGTTGCCTTGTATTTTACACATTTGCACGCGTTATACGCGCATGAATATCCTCGATCTAATCGTGATACACGAAAGATCTCAACGAAGAACACTGTACCGAGTCTGAAGGATTAACGCGAATTTGATAGAATGTTACTTAAAAATTGTTAACTCAGATTTAACCCCTTGCACTCCGAGCAAATTTTTAATAGGACCTTTCGCAACTCCAGAAGTATTTACAAGTGCGTGCCTCTCTGAACAATGCAAAAAACGCGTGTATACGTTGAAGTTATGTTTCCTGATGATTCTTATCATTAACTTATCCATTAAAGTTATATATCCTACAATATCAGCGCAGGTGACAGCGGAGTGCAAAAGGTCAATTATCCCCAAACTTCCTCGGTAGACAAAGAAAATGAAGATAGTCTCTCGAAACATCGTGAACGTTATATTTCCGGCAACTCGAAATATTCAACAGAAAAACCACATAGGAATAGGAAGAAAGGCAACGATTCTCGCAGGCGAATCGGCGACAGATTTTCGGACAATCCGTCGAGCCCGCGGCGAGATTCGGTTACCGCGGGAAATATTAGCGAGCGTATTATAGGTTGATTGCTCTGTAGCTGTTATGTAACAGCACAAAGGGCTGTTAGCCTCGCTGTAGCTGAACGCTCGCGCCGTCGCTATTATATAATAGCTGTAATAGCCGCTGGCTGTATTAATAACCGAGTGGGGTCGCGAATAGAAAGGAAAAGAGGGACGGAGACGGGGCGAGGAGGAGGGGCGGGGCGATAGTGGAGGGAAAAAGAGGGGAAAAAAAGGATATACGCGTTTCAAAGCTTCCGGTTGCCTGCGTTATTTTTCTATCGTCACGGTGGAAAGATCGCATCGCTACTCTGTGGCGTCCACGATGTTTCGAGAGGCCGGACAAACGATCGATGGGCCGCGGATTTATTAAAAATACACGGGAAACCCTTTGCCGAGCGAAACGCGTTCCGTTCGCGATCGGGTCGAATAATCGTGACGGGCGAAATTGAATCGACACCCACGGCGCCGCGGGACAGTGTCAAAACTGATGCAGAGGTGATTCCGGCGCAATACGATCTGCCCTGTAGCGGGAATTACTCGGCGGGAAGAACGAGAGGCGCGAGGAAGAACTCGGAACTGGCTTTCAGACTAGTATCACCGCTCGATCATCTAATCGAATGATTCGAGGTCGTTGAATTGTGGCGAACTTGCTTCTTCGTTGATGACACTTCTTGCGTCATTTAGGATTTTTAGCATTATCTAGATTGCTCGAAGATTTGAGATTACTGAATTTTTTTGTGAGTTCTTTGCGTCATTTAGAATTTTTAGCAATATCTAGATTGCTCGAAGATTTGAGATTACTGAATTTTTGGTGAGTTCTTTGCGTTATTTAGAATGTTTAGCATTTAGATTGATCGAAGATTTGAGATTACTGAATTTTTTCGTGAGTTCTTTGCGTCATTTAGAATTTTTAGCATATCTAGATTGCTCGAAGATTTGAGATTACTGAATTTTTTGGTGAGTCTAGATTAGAAATAAATACCTATTATCATCTCTATTACTCGTCGTTGCAATAATTCATCGTATCATCGAAAGAATGAAGTTTCGTTTGTAGAATTTTCAAGGGATCTTGAGCGCAGAGGAATGTTGGTTTTTGTTTCGTTTAACATCGAACCGCGCTCGAATCGTTGGGTTGCCAGAACGTTTGCTCGGTAACTGCGCGCGACGTTAATAATTTCGTGTCTTAAAAGTACGAACCGGATGAACGTTTGAATAGTGCATCCTCTGGGCGTGTTCCCGTTTCCTCGATGCATCCGGTTTTCATTCGACGGCCTTTCGGTTGACAGATCTTCATTAAAGTATCGCTGGAACAGAAACGTAGTCGGTGAAAATTTCACGCGTGACGAAATGTCAATCCGTTTCGGTAAACTAGTTTCCCATCTCGCGGACATGTCGTTTAAAGTGCACGCTGAACGCGCGCTCGTCTCGGAATCATTTCTTCGAACATTTTTCCGTAATTCAATGGATCATCGCGTCGGATCAGAGACACCGATACCGCCGGATTGAACAGCGGAGCACCGGTGGTGGGGCGGAATCAGTCGAAATGCGATCTGATTACGCATTACCGATAACAATTCAAACGTAATAATTAATTTCAATTAGTTTCGAGTTACTTTCTGCAGTCGTTAACCGTCGCTGACCTACAATCGCGATCGATCCGCAGCGATTTGTAATTAATACGATGTGGATTTTATCCGTTCGCAGCATTCACGATCTATTTACGCTCGGTATTGGTAAATATTTGAAACTTGTTTCACGAGTAATTTAATGCGGCGTAATCGGATCAGATATCCCCGGACAATGATCGAGGGGAACAAAGGATCGCGCAAAGGAGGAACCTCGGTAGCCAAACGGCCGGTCGTGTAAAGTGTAAAATTGTAACAGTGATGGGTCCTCCGTGCCGTTGCCCCGAGTCACGTCGGACATTCCCCTTTGACGGTGAGTTACACGTAAAATCCACAGGCTGAAATCGCGGTACAATTCAAACAAATCCATAGGAATCTGTCAAACAAATCTATAGAAAGGAATAACTTCGAAATATCGAGTAACATCTTAATAACATCGTAGAATACTTCATTTCCGAGATAATCACACTCGAAAATTTGAAACCGACGCGTCCGTTCGTGGCTCACCGTTTCTACTTCTCGTAATTACTTCGATTGACGCGTAACTATCAGAGAAACAAGATATTCTACATTTGCATTCGCATAATTTAACCAAAATCGACTGCAACTGCTACCAAATAATGTTTCAAGAATTCAGTATCCGTCAAATTGACAGGTTCCATAAATCTCTGTTAACCCTTAGCACTCCAGATGGTTTCGCAATCTATCAGTAACTGCAACTAATTTTTATAGTATCCCTAGTGAAAATGAGAAATGCTGTAACATTTCTTCGATCCTTTATTTTCCTTCTTAGTGCAAAATTTGGATGTATAGAGAATCGAATAATTGTAGGGTAGTTTCTTTGATTCATTAAGATATCTAATATTACTCCTGGTGCAATATTGGAGCCTACAGAGTTCAAAACTTATAAAATTTTCAATTCAATATTAAACCTTGTGTAATGTCTCAGCACAAAAACATCGAAGTAAAATAGCTCTGTCTATTAATTTATAGAAGATAACCAATTCTGTTAGTTGCGAAAAATATCGTTAATATTAGTCAGAAACTAATGAATATTTTTAGTGAAAAATATTGTCGAGTGCAAAGGGTTAACCCTTTGAACTCTGTAGGCTCCAATATTGCACCAGGAATATTAGATATTTTAATGAATCTTAAACTAACTAACTTAAAGAAAAGAATAGAACCTATCCATCGCGTCAACCCAGAATTTTCATCTCATCAAACGTTCATCCTGTCCCTCGTTTCAGCAGGATTTCGGGAGCACCCTTTAGGTGCAGGACAGCGGGTCCGATTCTTCCTCGCCGCGATCTTGCGTCGTTTTCGTTTTTCTTTGCCGCGCGCGGACGCGCGCCGGAGAGGAACGGCCGCGCGAGCAATTATTCAAGGCTTATCGGCGGCGGCGGTGGTCGCGGGCTCGGCGCTCGAAACGCGGGAGACAAATTGACCACTTGTTCGACTCCTATCAGACCAAGAGAGAAGGGAGTCGCGGGCATATTTTATTAAATAGTCGGGGGACGAAGAAGAAGGGGGCGACCGGCCGGACGTCGCGTGGCCGTCCCGGGAATCAAAATGAAATTCCCGGCAAGCAGCGCGCCGCGTCGCGTGATTTACGGGACGGGCCGCGCGTGTGTCCCGTCTCGGATCCGATCGCGAGGAGCACCGCTTAATCCTTTATGTCCTGAATTACGTCGCTGCTATTTTTCAACGATATCTGCGCGGCGAGTCGGGGATTACTCGAACAACACCCGACGAACCTAAACGTCCGTCTCCCGAGTGATTCGAGTCCGAAGATATCCAATGCTAATTGAAATCGCATTCTTGACAAATTTATTTTCGCTGATGAACGAGACATTCGTTTAACTCCTTACGGACGGTTGTTTAACGTATAAAGATCCTATTGATTCTGGTAAATTAGACACTGAATGTCTAAATAATAGAGGAATAATGAATTACGTATTGGTTTCTTGCTGTTTGAATAGTTCAATCATGTTTGAGGTCGATATTCGTCTGTAAAGGGTTAAGACGACGCTCTTTTTACGCCGAGTTTAGAGCAAGTTTGGGATGTAAAGGGTTAATGTCGTCCACTTAGCACAGCATGCGAACGTGTCGCGGTATTGTTTCGCTCGAAACGGGTGAACCAATGGGATTAAGACTAATAGTATCGTATCAATCCCCGCAATACCGAATAGTATAGATTACTGAATTCTGCTAGTTGCACGTCGCTTGTCCGATATCGTGCCGTTGACATTTTACCCGCCGACAGATTACCAACAACCTCCTCGATGATCGTGTATTGAAAAATGGTTCGATAATCCGAGAGAAGTAATCGAAGTTCAGCTGATTAAGACCACACGTTGACGCGCGTTTACGAAACGAAAATTCCAAAGGTTAAATCCTATGATCGTAACGTTTTAATCGTCCACGCGACGATTAAGCGGATTCTACTGTAACGGGCAGGTGGGTAAAGTGTGAAGTGGTCGACAGCGATCGAATCGAACGCCGCGAGGATCGACGGCAACCAGTGGCCCGCGATTCGTCGTTGCCTCGCAGGAAGGGAAAGAAAGAATCCCGTGGAACGCCACGGTGCCGGGTTTCTTCGGCGGGAGCGTGGAACGCGAGCGTTAACGTAAGCAATAAGCAATAAACCGACGCAACGGCTCAACCATGTATGTACACGAATGCGAGATGTTGCGTGTCACGTGAGACGTTTCTGTACAGAGAGCGAGAGAGAGAAGGTGGTGTTCGCGAGAACGTTGCACCCGAGAGATGTTCCGTTTAGGGGTGGGTCCGAGCTTAGACTTCAAATTCCCGAAATTCGAATCCGAGGCTTTCGAAACTCCCGGAAACTGTCGAAACTCGAAGCGTCGATTTCATCCGGTACGAGAACATTCCCGGGGAAATCTTCGCTACCAGCGGATACGAAGAAAAGTGTGACACACGAAAATATGCAATTCAGATCCTAGTTCAAACTAACGTTCGCGGAATGAACGATGATTCTCCATTCGCGAGTCTTATATCCTTTTCGTCCGAGTTTCAAGAGTCTCGAGTCACAAATGAAGCGCAAAGTTTCGAATTCTCGAAGCTCGGAGCGTTCTTGGGTTTCGAGAGGTTCCGAGGTTTCGAGTGACCCAGCCCTAATTCCATTATATTGGTTCGTCCGGACGGATCCCCGCGATTCGCCGGGCGAAACGGGAACGAACGAATGAACGAACGAACGAACGAACGGACGAGCGAACCCACGGGGACGAAAGCGACGGCGGAATACGGACCGATCGATCGCGAGGGTAGAACGCTACGATATTATTGTAACTAATACAGAGTCTATATATTATATTATTGTACAAGCATCTTTGTAATAATTAACCCGAACCGAGTGACGAGTGGGGAGTGAACACGAAAGCAAGCAAGCGGAGCCACGACGGGAGACTACGGAACGGAAGAGGACGAGAGAGGACAAGGAACGAAACCGACGAAGGGGAAGGGAGAACGAACGATAACGAGAATTATGCGCGTGCGAGAATAAAGGAACGAAACGTAAAAGAAGCAGATCGCTATTTTACCACTTTTCCAATCGCGGTGAAACGTAGTTTATACGCCGTTAACGCTTTACTTGGTGTTCGTTTGCGACGCGGCCGAGGGAGGCGTCCGAGGTCCTTAAGAATCGTGTCGCGGAACCGTGTCGCGGGTTTCGGTATTCTACAATCGATATCTCCTTCCGATCGTTTCTCAAATTTCAATTTCTCCTTTAAAACGAAATACTTTCTTCCTGGATTATATACATTTGCTGCGTTTAATTCTCGGACGGTGTTTAGATCTACTTTGAACCAGTTCCCAAAAATTGTCTTAAAGCAATCGTTTAATTTTTGAAAGTCGACCCTCGTTAACTTATTGCACAGTCGCTTCATCGACGGAAGAGTCTTCGCTGATAGTTCTAATAACCATTCCACCACGATCACCCTATGCTACAGACTTTGCAGATTTATAACGCATGAAGCACGAGAAACTAACCAATTTCACTGTACTCTAGCTTTTATATTACTATCGTAACGGTACCCGTAATAAAAGGAATCGATTCCTACTCAACCATTTTTATAAGACACATCTGGGTGCTGGTAGTGGAGTGGCTATGACCGTCAGTGTATCTCTATCGAGAAATTCTTTTATCAAAGAAATGTATCTATCAATGAAAAACGCTATCATTTAAAAGGTTTCATGAACCTTTCGAACGTAACTGCAAAGATCACCTGTTTCCTCAGAAGGAGAATATCGGTAACTAGGAATCGCGGCACGGGATTCGAAACAATGGAGAACAATTTGAGAAAAACGATTCGCCGGAGAAAATTCGGGAACCGGAAGCCCCTCCCTCGGCGGCGTCCATTTAATCGAGCAAGAGCCGCTCGTTTTCGGGCTCCTCGAGACGGAAGGGCCCGATCGTCGAGTTTTCGTCGGGCTTCTCGACGAGCGTACTCGCGAGAAGCGAGTCGCATATGCCGGACCCGTTTCCGTCGTGTCCGCCAGGCGGCGGCCCGCCACGAGAACCGTTTCTCATTTTCATGTTTCCGTTCGTTTCCACGCCAGACGAGTAGAGGACACTTAGTGGTTAGGACTTTTAAACGATTAGCACCTTAGAAATGCCGTACTGTACCTAAGAGAAAAAAAAAATGCAGCGTATTTAGCGTTAACCTTAAGGTGACACTTTAGCGGTTAAGGATTCTCTAGCTTCATAGGGGTAATAAGCTCATTGTGACAGCAATCAGATGCCCCGCGGTCGAATCGCGAACCAATCCCGATTTCCCCGATCATCCTCCGTTCACCAATTTTCACCCCTATCGATTTCTTTCGTCGTCGATGGACTCGGATTTTATGCACGCCTGAAGGTACGCGATCATTTTCAACCTGTCAACTGTGCTCGACGAGTATACCCGTCATCCTGATACCTACAGTAATATTAACACTAGAACTATCAGTCAAAATGACTGGTTTCAGTTTTTCTTGCAATTATTGATATCTTAAAGCATTGAATATTCGAAATGATCTTGAAAATAGTTTCACTTGAATACTATAACGAATGTCTGAAGAAACCGAAAATAATCTATTGCTACATTTCAGTGGTATCAAATGCTCGGTAGTTCTAGTGTTAATTGATTCTTTCAACGATTCACCGTTCGACGCGTATACTCGTTGGTTGATTCCGTTACGCACTCGATTCTTCAACTAAATTCAGGTAACTGGTTAAGAGAAAACCGTCGAGAGTCGCTACCGAGATTCTTCCTTAGCGGATACTGCGTTGAATATGTAAGAGGATCGTCGAACTCATTCTCGACGCAGTACTCGCCGGAGACGCGAGAGATCGCAATAGTGTCGCTCTCGAACGGACGCTTAGCCTAACGCGTTTGATCTTTCGAAGCTGGTTAAACGGAAGTATCGAAAAGTTTAGAGCGTAATACGATTGACAGGAATTTTGTAACGAAACACATCCATAGGAGGCCGCAGCTGCATAGAGATCCGCAGTCTAATCGTCAGCGTCGCAATCATCGTTTGTCTGTCGCGCGCTTCTCGCGAGCAGCCTCGATCCGAAGTGGAGCGTGCGCGTATATGGAACACGTCGATGCTCACGTCGAATGTGTGCGGGTCACGGCGACGGAGAGAGAGGGAGAGCCGTGCAGAGGAGTCAGATTAAACCATAGGGAATCACGGGGAACCATGGGGTTGCAGTTTTTCGAGCGATGAGACGCCGGTCCCTAA